GGGTTGGTCTCGTGGACCTGGATGCCACATTTGGGGCAGTCGTTGCTTTCCTCAAAGTGCTGCACGATGCAGCTCTTACAGACTAAAGGAGGCAACATGCACACATTTCATTAGCTTCTGATTTCAGAGTGGAAAATCTGCACATCTGATGCAAAAAAGATAAATAAATCTAAAAAAATATTATGATAAAAGTTAGCTAATTGTTAGTAAAAAAGGTTTTTGACTAATTTGTTAATCAGGAAAAGCTAAGCTGACTCTGATAGAGAGCTAAATGAGGGCTAAAAGTTAGCTAATTGTTAGTAAATCGTTTTTGATTAAGCTAATAGTTAGGAATAGCTAAATTGACCCTGAGAGATAGCTAAGTAATGGCTAAAAGTTAGCTAAATGTTAGTAAAAACATTTTTGACCAAGCTGTTAGTAGGAATAGCTAAGCTGACTCTGAGAGATAGCTAAATGAGGACTAACAGTTAGCTAAATGTTTGTAATAACGTTTCTGATTGAGCTAATAATTGGGAATAGTTAAATTTACCCTGAATGATAGCTAAATAATGGCTTAAGGCCAACTAAATGTTAGTAAAAACGTTTTTGACCAAGCTGTTAGTTAGTAATAGCTTAGTTGACTCTGAAAGATGGTTAAGTAATGGCTAAAAGTCAGCTAAATGTTAGTAAAAACGTTTTTGATGAAGCTGTTAGAAGGAATAGCTAAGCTGACCCAGAAAGTTAGCTAAATGTTTGTAAAAACGTTTTTGATAAGGCTCATAGTTAGGAATAGCTAAATTGACCCTGAATGATAGCTAAATGCCAGCTGAATGTTATTTAAAAGTTTTTGACCAAGCTGTTAGTTAGTAATAGCTTAGTTGACCCTGAGACATAGCCGTTATTTAGCTAACACATACCTAAATGTTAGTAAAAACCTTTTAGATTAAGCTAATAGTTAGGAATAGCTCAGTTGACCCTGAGATAGAGCTAAATAATGGCTAACAGTTAGCTAAATGTTAGTAAAAACGTTTTTAATGAAGCTGTTAGTAGGAATAGCTACAGTGACCCGGAGAAAGAGCTAAATAAGGGCTAATACATAGCTAAATGTTAGTAAAAACGTTTTTGATTAAGCACTATATTGGCAGAAAGTTAGCTAAATATTAGTTTGTAATTAGACTGAATTGG